AAACATGAGGGTGAGTAGATGATGTCAGAATTTTAAGCACGTGACCTGTGAAGGTGTGTGTGTGTGTGTGTACCTACTTAACCATATTTTGGGGACAAATCTGTACCCAAAAGTGTGCTACACCTGACAAAATCTCCAGAAACCTCCCTTTGGGGACGTCCTCATTTGTAAAACTGGCATAAAAATAAAGTAAACAAAGTTTTTTTGAACTTGTAAAAATGCAGAAAGTTTTCTGTGAGGGGTAGGGGTGGGTTTAGGTTAAAAAGTGTATAACGATCTGTATATAAAAACAATAGAAGTCTATGTAATGTCCCCATTTAGATGCGAGTGCGCGTTTTTGTGACAAATGAGGACATAAATTTGTATAATGACAAGGGTATGACATAGGTATTACAAGGAGAAGGTGACTTTTCAGGACATTACCCCATGTCCCAACTTTTCAAAACGCATATAAATCACACAGAATGGAGTGTATTGAAATCTGAAATAGCACAAAGTTTCCTGTGAGGGGTAGGTTTAGAGGTAGGGTTGGTGTAGGGCAATAGCACATACAGTTTGTACAGTATAAAAACCATTACGCCTATGGGATGTCCCGACTTTTCACAAAAACAAACCTGTGTGTGTGTGTGTGTAAAATAGTATATAAGTCTGGCGAGTTAACAAATTTACTAGCCAATGGCGATTATATTGCCAAGGTGTGCGTAGAGGGTTGAAAAGAAAGAGAGAGGGAGAGATTAAGTGCATGTGAATACTTGCGTCTGTGAGTCTCTCAGCAGTAGCGTCTATTAATAGCGAATCTAAGTTGAACTGCTTCAAGAACCTCGCTACTGAGAAATGTCATGTAGCTTTTCAGCTGCGAAACTATTTTATTGATAGATTCACGGGGCAGCCGCAGCACTGACAACAAGTTTCTGTCCGTACCGTGTGTGTGTACGTCTGTGAGAGAGAACGGGAGAAAGCGTGATTTCTGTACATAAAAAAAGGTTGAAGACATGGAAATAGTTTGTCATTTTTACCCTATTGTTTTGTTATATTTATTTGCTCAATGTCTTGAGCAATAGAGAGAAGTGCATCTTTACGGATTATGATTATAATGAAAGAGGGTTTTTTTTACATTTGTTTTATTTCGTTAAGCAGTAATTTAAAGCCTTCTATAGATATATTTGTCATGTCTGTGAGGCATGTATTCGCTGAGTTTCGGTTCATTTTTGTGAAGCGCTCCTGTTCAAGACGAGATGGCAGAAAGCGCATCATGTTTGTTTTCTTTATTTTATAAAAGTACAATGTTTTGTTGATACTGTGAGTGCACACAAATACAAGTATACACTTTACAGTTCCGAATGATGTATTATTTTTACTTTCAGCAAAAATGACAGCGTAGGCTATTTTAAGTTGTTTCCATGTCCTGCAAAGCGTGCTTTAGCTTCCACTCTCCGCACAAACTTGGATATAGCGCACATTTATTACAGCGCAGATTTAACGTTTAAACATTGTTATAGGCTTGAACTGTTTTAGTAGATCTAGATTTTATTTTAGGCAAGTCGTGATGATTTGAGAAGGCTAAATTAATCAAACATAGGCGATCAGCTCACTGTCTGCCGCTGCCCGCTTCGTAGTTACTTTAAAAAACAAAAACGTACATTTAACGAACGAAAAATGCTCCAAATGTTATTCTCAATTAACTTAATAAAAAAATAAAAAAAATTAAATAATCATTTTGCCATTACATACAAAACTGAACTATTTGAATAGCTTAAAGAGTATTAGAAGCTGTTTTGGAAGAAGGGGGGGAGAGAGACTGGCTTGGGTAAGGCTCGGGCCGGTAATTCTGATAAGCTTTCGGACAAGGGCCGGGGCCTGAGCGTCTCGGGCCAGGGCCTAAATTAGAGGTCCGTGCAGGGCTCTACTGCCTTTGTCTTGTCTTCACTCAATTTAAAGTGCTCCCACACAGCTGAGGTCTTCGGCACTTTTGTCTTCTCTTCAAGATTAACGGAATCATGACGTTCACTCATGGGCGATTCATATTCAAGCACGAATGAGAACCGTTTCACGGGGGATGCCAGGTTTGAAAAAAATATATATATATATTTGAATCTCAAAATTGAAAATCGAATGCCAACCCACCGAACGAATATTCTGGTCCAGCCATAGTGCATAGTGTTCATTACTTTTGAGTTAGCATTTATAATTTTCCATTTAAACTAAGTTTTTGTAATTTTATTAGTTTGATATTTCAGCTTTAAAGGGATAGTTCACCCAAAAATGAAAATCACAATTTAATCATCCTCATGTCATCCTAGGTGTATAAGAATTTCTTCTTTCAAATGAATAAATTTGGAATTATATTAAAAAATGTCCTGGCTCTTCCAAGCTTTATAATGGCAGTTAATAGCTGTTGAGACGTTCAAGTCCAATAAAAAGTGTCCATCGATCATCAAAAGTGCTCCACACAGCTTCAGAGGGTTAATAAATGCCTCCTGAAGCACAGTGATGTGTTTGTGTAAGAAAAACAGCCATATTTAAAACTTCAAACTGTAATCTCTAGCTTCTGCGGTCAGGAATTAGAAGTACAAAACAAAGATTTGTAAAGAAATGTTAGCGGATTTCGATATAAGCCAAGAGGAGACTGGTTTTCCTTTTTTGTAAACAAAACTTGGTTCTCACGAGACTAGCATATTCTCACCAGAGCTTACGCTGTGCCTACGTCAACTGCTGGAAGGCCACTCTGTCGTGAACGTGCGTACGACAGTTAGTGGAAGCTAGAGATTACAGTCTTATAAAGTTTTAAATATGGATATTTTTCTTACACAAACCCATTGCTTCACTTCACTTCAGAAGGCCTTTATGGAGCCGTGTGGAGCCCTTTTTATGATGGATAGATTAACTTTATTGGACTTCAAAATCTCAACACCCATTCACTGCCATTATAAAGCTTTGAAGAGCCAGAACACTTAATATAACGCCAATTGTATTCATCTGAAAGAACAAAGACATATACACCTAGGATGGCTTGAGGGTGAGTAAATTATGGAGTCATTTTCATTTTTGGGTGAACGATCCCCTTAATTCTTTATAAATATTTCAGTTAATTACCAAGGCAATACTTCCATGTTTTTTTTTTATCTAATATTTACATTTCCCATCTTCATTTCTGTATTATTCATGCTTTTTACTTATCCCACCTGTCTTTACTGTAGTGGTCATCACGAGGCGGAGGACCATCATCCCGACGTGACATCAGAGAATCTCTGCGAGGAGGGCCGTATGGGTCCCTGTCTCTGGACATTGGCGCTGTTAAACACATTGAGAAAATGATTTTATGGTTCAGATTATTAACGGTACAAATCTGTGCATGTTTGCCCAACTCACGTCTGCCCATTGGCCCAGAGGGTGCAGATCTCTTGGGTGGGGGTCCTCCATTCCGCACTGGGGGGCCTCTTTTCAGTGGTGGTGGCCCTCTGGATGACATGCCTTTAAAAAAGGGTTCTACAATACCTACGTTATCTTGGTAATATTTAGGCAGCAAGCATGCATATTAAGCATAGGCTCAGAACTTCTTAGAGGACAATCAGTTCAAACAGATCATCAAAATAGTGTCATCATGGCACAAATTAAAAAATGGGGTGGGGTATAAAGTTCTGAATGGTACCTCTGCTTGGTGGTCCCCGCATTCCACTTGGTGCTCCCCTGGACCCTCGTGGACCTCTAGCAGGGCCACGACTCCGTGTTGGTGGTGGACCACGGCGTCCTGAAGACTCAAACTGAGGTTTTGTGGCCTGTTCCACTTTAATAGGCTTTCCATCAAGAGGCTTTAACACAAGAAACAGACTTTTAGGAAACTCCTCTTAAATTAGACAGACAAATAGATACAAGCAAATGTGTGCTACCATTATGTAAGCTCAGAACTTCTTAGAGGACAATTGTGGACTATCAGTTCAAACAGATCACTGCCACAAATCTTCATCACAGCTCACACATCTGAAGTTCACACCATTACTACTCACCTTTCCATTCATTTCCCTTGCTGCATCTTTTGCGTCACCAGGATTTTCATAAGTTACAAATGCAAAGCCTCTAGATTTATTTGTTTCACGATCCTTCATCAACAGAACTACAAAAGACAAGTTGGAGGAAAACATATGATTACACCAAATGCTTCAATAACATTTTAGCTCTCATCTAAAACAAATTTCAATATTATATTAATTTTGCACAACCGAAAGAGTTCTACAAGCAAGTAATTTAAATCATACAAAAACTACAAGTACCTTCTGATATTCGGCCAAATTTGCTGAAATAGGCTTCAAGGACCTTCTCACTAGTTTCAGTGTTCAGGCCACCGATGAAGAGCTTCCCTGGTCGGTCTGCCTCAGCCATGCTTTCCACTATTGCCACTGCAGGGGAGAGACAATTATGCATGAGAATAGTCCAGTGTCTTTCGTCTTAGAAAAAGTAAATTAACAGCTTAAATCAGCATAAGCTGGTCTCTCATCCGGAATAACTCAAAAGTGCATAAAACCAGCAAACAGACCAACCTAACCATGTTGGGAGACCAGAGCACTAAACAATTTTAACAACATTACATGCTTAGGAGCAACGCAAAATGCCAGTACGTTGTTGCACGGTTAATGAAGTTAGAAAAGCTATTTGGTAACAGAAACACGTTTAATTTAATCGTTCTTTAAAGTAGATGGTTAACCCTGCAACCATGAGCTGTTAGGGCCTGCCTGGCTAGCTGCAGTTGTTGAACACGTGCAAAGACTAACTTACGAACCTTCACAAATATAGTTACAAAAGACACTAAACGTTTCGGTTTACCAGTTTGCATGACATTTACATGTGCATTTTAAAGCATGGCTCACAAAATGGCGGACGCTTAAAATCATAAAGCTACTGGCAGATGCAGCAGCTTGAGACCTCTTCAGGCCGTATGGCTAACTAACAACACATGTTTGATTAAGAACCTCATAAAGGCATGATAAACATTTAACCATAAAACAATATTTAGATTAAAGTACATAAGCGAATAACGCCACATGCAAATTCAAAATGGCGATTGAAATGTGCGTTTAGAAAAAAACATCTTGTCGTTTGCCATCTAACGTTACACGAGGCCATTTTCAGTTACCATCACAGCTGGTAAATATACATGGCTATGGAGCTAAGGTATTGCCAGATGAAACGTCCATCTACTAACCAAAAACCATGATTACATTTAGACGAATCTGTTTAAATTATCCATTTACTTACCTCAGGATCAACAGACAGAAACAAAAGCGCCTGCTGGTTTATATGTCTGTTTCGACCATAGACTGTATAAAAACAGGTTTCGACCCGCCCAGCACAGTCATTTACTCTATGGTCAGAAGAAGGAACTTAACGGTTTAAAAGTCTCTCACGCCCCCTACTGTCGTGTTTGCAAACTGTACTCATTTTAGTCCTGTATAGCGAAAACCGGCCACATCACAGCTGCACTCATTAATGAATCAGAATAGTACACAAAATAAATTAATAGAGTTTTAAATATGTATTTAAACTGTGTACTGCATTAAGATTCCAGTCATATGTGTAGCTAAATAAATGTTTGCATGAAGCGGGTCGCCTCAGGCATGAGATCATATGACCACACGAACAATATTACCCGCCTCAGAAATTTTCAAATGTATATTATATATTTGGAACTTACCTAATAATATAATAATTGTATTTTGTTTGCTATCCATTGGCCATTAAATATATGACAATTGACATAGATCATACTTTAAGTTAGAACTCTACTGAGTTGAGTGTTTCCATATCAAGTCAAGTCTGGCATTATTATTATTATTATTATTATTATTATTATTATTATTATTATTATTATTATTATTATTATTATTATTATTATTATTGTTATTATTGAAAAAGAAAGTTTCTTTTTACCTGTGGGACTGGTGGTAGTACTGCCATTTCCTTCAGGAAAACATTGATGAGCATTATGACAAACTTTACATATATGTAACAAAAAAGGGGAAAAATGAACGCTGTTAGGGCCTGCCTGGCTAGCTGCAGTTGTTGAACACGTGCAAAGACTAACTTACGAACCTTCACAAATATAGTTACAAAAGACACTAAACGTTTCGGTTTACCAGTTTGCATGACATTTACATGTGCATTTTAAAGCATGGCTCACAAAATGGCGGACGCTTAAAATCATAAAGCTACTGGCAGATGCAGCAGCTTGAGACCTCTTCAGGCCGTATGGCTAACTAACAACACATGTTTGATTAAGAACCTCATAAAGGCATGATAAACATTTAACCATAAAACAATATTTAGATTAAAGTACATAAGCGAATAACGCCACATGCAAATTCAAAATGGCGATTGAAATGTGCGTTTAGAAAAAAACATCTTGTCGTTTGCCATCTAACGTTACACGAGGCCATTTTCAGTTACCATCACAGCTGGTAAATATACATGGCTATGGAGCTAAGGTATTGCCAGATGAAACGTCCATCTACTAACCAAAAACCATGATTACATTTAGACGAATCTGTTTAAATTATCCATTTACTTACCTCAGGATCAACAGACAGAAACAAAAGCGCCTGCTGGTTTATATGTCTGTTTCGACCATAGACTGTATAAAAACAGGTTTCGACCCGCCCAGCACAGTCATTTACTCTATGGTCAGAAGAAGGAACTTAACGGTTTAAAAGTCTCTCACGCCCCCTACTGTCGTGTTTGCAAACTGTACTCATTTTAGTCCTGTATAGCGAAAACCGGCCACATCACAGCTGCACTCATTAATGAATCAGAATAGTACACAAAATAAATTAATAGAGTTTTAAATATGTATTTAAACTGTGTACTGCATTAAGATTCCAGTCATATGTGTAGCTAAATAAATGTTTGCATGAAGCGGGTCGCCTCAGGCATGAGATCATATGACCACACGAACAATATTACCCGCCTCAGAAATTTTCAAATGTATATTATATATTTGGAACTTCCCTAATAATATAATAATTGTATTTTGTTTGCTATCCATTGGCCATTAAATATATGACAATTGACATAGATCATACTTTAAGTTAGAACTCTACTGAGTTGAGTGTTTCCATATCAAGTCAAGTCTGGCATTATTATTATTATTATTATTATTATTATTATTGTTATTATTGAAAAAGAAAGTTTCTTTTTACCTGTGGGACTGGTGGTAGTACTGCCATTTCCTTCAGGAAAACATTGATGAGCATTATGACAAACTTTACATATATGTAACAAAAAAGGGGAAAAATGAACAAAAGCAGAAAATAAAGTAGATACAGCCTAAATATAATTAAATATTTATAATTAAATAAAACAAATAAACATGATTTAATTAATTGAAATATATTGATGGTATAAATATATTAATTACAAAATTAAACGTTTTCTTTTTATTAAAGTAACAAAAATGATACAAACACATTCAGGAGAACATGAAATAGCATCAATAGAAAGTTTCCCATGTAGCAGTAATTTGGAAAATACATACATACACAAAAAAGATCAAGATAAAAAATGTAATTAATACAAATTAAATTAAAAACGAAACGCTGTCATTAATCCAGTTTTGTAGATGAATTGGAGGAGGGGCCACCGGTGGGCGGGGTTATGTGCACAGTGAGGAAGTGACTCTGATACAAATCTTTCTTGAGTCAGTAGCAGCGGCGAGCTCGTTGTCTTGGTGATATTTTGTGTGGACTGTCACCGGTTAGTTTTATGGTTTGCTCCAGCAGAGTAAACCGGAATTCTCGCAGGACGCTGCTTTGAAAAATGAAGCCTTTAAATCCGCGTTTTATATTTTTGCTGAGTTTAACAGTAGTCAGCTCAAGCTTTGGATTCTACCTTCCGGGTTTAGCACCAGTCAGTTTTTGCGAGCAAAACTCGAAAGGAGATGCGGAGGAATGCCAGGTGAGCTTTTACTGTCCTGTACTTATTATTATACTTCCGTGTACAGACAGATGAGACATAACAAATAAAATACATGTTTAGGCATTGAGTTAATAAGCAAATTCTGAATTCTCTGCATTGCAAATTCATGTTCAAAATAAAAAGTGTTCATCTCTGAGATATGACTAATAGTCAACTGTCCCCTTGACCCCATTCCCCTGCTGCCAATCCAACAGACTGAGATACAGCTGTTTGTGAATAGACTGGACTCAGTGGAATCAGTCCTGCCTTATGAATATGATGCGTAAGTGTTCTTGATCTTTACAATATAAGCTTTATTATTATATCTGCATGCATTTCTATACAAGGACTGACCGGCGAGGGAATACTTTTTGCTTTAGGTTTGATTTTTGCAAAGATACGGATGAAAACAGGCCCTCAGAGAACCTTGGGCAGGTGTTATTTGGAGAAAGAATAGAGACGTCACCTTACAAGGTAAGAAATTGTTGTTTTTATTTTACGTTTTTTTTTTAATCATTGTAATTTAATATCATTGTGGCAGTGACATTTAGAAGATTACACACCTTGTTCATTGAGAGCTGGCATCTCGTTTGTCAAGTTTTACTAGTTGTAGTTGCAACTGACAGACACTTCTTCCTTTTGTGTTTTGTGTGTTTTGTTTTTTATAATGTCATATATAATCATATATTGTCGTATGATAAAGTTGATGTTATTTAGGCAGTGTATTCCTAGTTGTTACTATTCTGCATTAATGTGTTCAAATGAACTCCAGTGCTTCTCACATAATGGATAGATCCTTCATATACTGATTTTTGAAATTCTCCTTAGTTTTCATTTAAGGCTGACAAGGCTTGTGTGAAGGTCTGCACCAAATCGTATGATACAGGTTCAAGAGAAGACAAGTTAAAGTTGGACTTTCTAAAGAAAGGAATGGAGCTGAATTACCAGCACCACTGGTAAGTCTAGATGTGATGCCTACGGTAGGTGTGGTGGTAGCAATAACAAAATAAAAGTTGTCATCTTGACACAATAGACACAATATCAGTTTGTCATCGGAGGGTTGGGCATGTCATTCTTTACGCGATCTCTAATGGTTGGCCATAAAAGATAAGTGGGTTTGGTTTATCCTTAAACTTGTTTTGCAGGATTGTTGACAACATGCCAGTGACATGGTGTTACATTGTGGAGGACAATCAGAAAGTCTGCAACCCAGGATTTCCCATTGGATGTCTAGTGAACCAAGAAGGAAAGCCAAAGGATGCATGTGTGATAAATGTGAGAGAGACAGCTTTTTATGCTACTTTAGTTGTGAGCTGGCAGTCTGTGATGGAATAAATGTGATAGAATAAAAAGTTGGGGTAAATGCAATGAATTGAATATCAATTCTGTAAATGATGTTAAGACATTTTTTATTTAATTTTATTGTTGGAATAGGCTGTGATCCCTGTTTTAGGGATGGTGATACAAACATTTGATGTCTTTAAAATATCTATTTCTCAAGCATGGTTAAGTTTTTGTTAGATATTATGTCTTAAACATATAATACGTACATACCGTATTTGTGGAATGGACTAAAAATTAACTAACTGTTTTGGTTATTGAATCCTATATTGGTTTATTACTGACTGGTGTTCAAATATAATGGACCCTTTTCATATTTCACAGAAGAGGAAGTCATAATAATGGGCAAAAACTTTGCGCCTTTTTGCTCCACTAGCAAAAGAAAACATTCATGATATCATTTTTATGAGTTAACCAAAGAGGAAAAACACAGAGAGTGATTGTTAGTTGGAAGAGAGAAAGATGTCAGTTAGTAGTTGATTTGCCATCAATCCATCAGCCTTTGTATTAGAATTGCTTTGCTAACAAACTTGGCTACGTTTGCAATGTTAATATCTGTGGAAACAAGTCATCTGTGGAAAGTGTCCATTAAATAAAACTTTATATGTTAATTCACATGTTCAAAAACATTATTGGTTAAATTTTTACAGCATAATATAATAATATAAAATACATTATACATAAAAATACAAATAAAACTATATATGTTTATTCATTCATTCACATGTTATATAATATAATATAAAATGCATTACCAAGAACAGAACATTGACACAATGTGTTGCTGATTAATAACATTTCAACTTTTTTTTTTTTTTTTTCAAAATAAAATAAGGTAGAAAGATGCCTTTTTGATTTGTTTGATTATGACTAGCTTCTGACATTATTTTATCCACTCTTTTAGGCTGATTTCAACAAGAAGAACACTTACTATGTTTTCAACCATGTGGACATCACCATACATTACCACAGTGGAGATGAAACGAATGGGATGCATGCTCGACTTGTGGCGGCAACACTGGAACCTCGGAGGTCTAATTTTGCAACTAACTGTCTGTTACTAACTTGACTTGAAATGGTGTATTTAAGACCTCATTTTAGCTCTTGCTCCACTTTCTGTGGGCCTATATGATCAGTTTCAGATTTCATATTTAACTAGAATTGAAAGTTAGGCATAGTGACACCTGCTTGCAAGCACACTTTAATAAGAAAACCGAGAAAATATTTACTGTAATGCGCATAGAGTAGAACATTAGAGTTATCTCATCTGTAGTATAGTTTGTTACATAAGAGTAATGCATATGTGTTGACTGTTGGACAGCATAAAGCATAGTAATGACGAAAATCCAACATGTGAAGAAACTCCCATGGACATACCAGCAGATTTCAAGAGTAATCTCAAAGTCACCTACACTTATTCAGTTACATTTAAGGTAAGTTTGTTTATAGAGTCAGTACAATGAGATGGTTGGAAAGAACTATGTGTAATAAGAGTTTTTTTTTTTTCCTTTTCTAGCAAAATGATGATATTAGGTGGGCTTCTCGATGGGATTACATTTTGGTTTCCATGCCTCACAGTAACATTCAGTGGTTCAGGTGAGCACAAGCTGGTTGTAAATATCATCATACCATATCTCCATACATATATTAATGGCCCATCTTCATTTTATTTTTTCAGCATCATGAACTCTTTAGTCATTGTGCTCTTCCTGTCTGGCATGGTGGCCATGATCATGCTTAGAACACTGCACAAGGATATTGCCCGGTACAACCAGATGGACCAGGTACCTTGAATTTACTTTGTTCTCATTCCAATTTTTACCTAGATAACAGAAGAAATTAATGAGTCTGTAATGTCACCAGAGTATCTTGTGTCAACAGAGCTGACGCTCCCAAATACGCACAAACTGTTAGAGCAAATTTCCAGTTATATATTGTGTTTGTTTCTTGGGTTATGTAAATCCTAATGCTCAAGCACAGACAGACAGATAGCTTTTCTCTTAGTTTCAGTGTGATCTTATTTTTCTCATTTTAATAACCGTAAGAATACCTCCAGTCACTGAATCCTCTGTTGTGACATTCACAGGCAGACTGGGTTAAGATCCCTCCAGCTGCAAACGTTACCTATGTAAGCTTATTAGCTTATGTTGTCACTGGTGATTATGATATGAGGATTGTGTGGCTTCGGGAACTTGGTAAAACAAGTGTAAATATACAATACCATGCTCACCAATCAAGGTAAAGAAATGAAGGGAGCTAATTTGCAATGAATAGATAATGTCACTGATAAAGCATGTGTGGCACATACCATCTGCTTTTCCTTCACAATTTCAATAATTGAGTTTGACGACTGTCCATAATGATTTACCGGATGTCGTTCATGTGAGGTCATATTGAGATTTACTGTTATA